CAGGATGCTCCTTGGAGGCAAGGATTCTGGGGCTTCACCTGACATACTTTGGACATGCTGTAAGGAGAGACAGATCTTTAGAGAGGGACATTATGCTGGGCAGAGTGGTTCCGCATGAGCACAATTAAATGCGCTGAGATTCTCATTCTTCTCAATGTCTGTCAGAACTTGTTATGATCCACACACTCAAATGCCTTTGCATAGTCAAGAAAGCACAAATAGACAGCTGGTATCCATCTGATATCGGCAATGATGCCCCTGGTGCCATGGCCTCGTCTAAATCCTCCTTGAACTTCTGGCAGATTCCTATCAATAATACCATTCTAGCCATTTATTAATGATCTTGAGCAATTTATGAATTGAATTCAACTTATGAATAGATTAAGAAAAATAAGATTTAACCTGTTAAACATTAGTTTCTTTATTTTTTTCCTTTTAAAAAACTTCCAAATAGTATAAGGCTAGTATATCAATTTTAGGTGTTTCTCTAGCTAAAGTCCATACTTTCAAATGTGTTGACCACAGAGTTTTTATAGACGTCAACATACTGTGTAGCTACTTTTCAGATTTTATTTGTTTGGCAGCTGACTTAGTTTTGGTTTTTTGTTTGTTTGGGGGTTTTTTTAGATGACAGTATTGACATTTCTCTGTTGCTTTTTTTTTTTAAGTGATGACAATGCCAGGAAAGATCTAAAGACACTACCAGCCTTTCCAACCAGAACTCTCCAGGAGCATCCATCCCTTGCTTACTGGTAAGTCAAGTCAAGATGTATATGACCCAGTGTTGCTTTTTGTCAAAACCTTCATTACGAGCTGCATGCTTCCATGGATATTAAAAGAAATGGAAGTGAGGAAAAGATCAACTATGTCAAACCTTCTGTAGACAGCCCTTGATCCCTTCATGAATATCCCTCATGGAGACCACTGTGCATGTCTCCAGTCTGTCTTTTTACTTAGATACCCTTTTAATATTTTTTTAGGAAGTCATTTGACATTATCTCTGCTATGTAGGCTTTTGTGTACAGTCCTTATCTTGCTAGAAATGATTAGTTAGAATATGTCCTGAGTTATATACATTGATGTCACCAGCTCTGATGCCTATTAGTTTCAGGCAGTTAAAAAAAAGGAAAAATAAAAACCAAAACATAATCCAGATGTAGGGAAATGGGAATCAGTGAAGACTGTGGTAAGCTAGAGAAAACAAGACCAGGCTACCCTCTTTAGAACACAGATACAGAAAAGGACTGTAAACATTACTGTCAAGTACTTGAATGGTCTGCAGGGTGTGTTTCTACTAAACATGATGTTCATGCTGTCACTAAATAACATGGACTTAATGTAGCACAGAGCAATGTAAGTGTTATGAAATAACAGATCATAGAGTTCCTACATGATTAGAAACAATCTTAATGACTAGAAATTTCCTCTCTGACCAGAAATATTATATATCTTACATATCTTAAGTTGTTTTATTTGCTTGTGTTTTGACAGATCCATAGTGTCTTTTTCCATATCACATTTTCCTAGAAAATTGTTTCCCTTTTGAATTACTTATAATCCCTTCAAGTATATTTTCCTTGCTTTAAGTCTCTGAAACAGGAAGATAGATTTCTTCTCCACCAAAAAGCAAGTACAAACTGGCTAATGTTGCTAGCTTTAATACAAAGGTTTGACTGTGTTTTGAAAACATACAGTGAAAGGGAGTAATGTGTCTGCGTTGGTTTCTTAAGAGAAAAACACAGGTTGATTACTACTGATTACTAGTTTCTTTTTGAAACTGTGGATTTAGAAGAGCTTACAAATAAAATAGATACAGTGTTCTTGTTGTTGTTGTTGTTATGTGCCATCAAGTCACTTGCAATTCGTAGCAACCCTATGTACAAGAGTCCTAAATGCTGCTCTACCCTGTGCCAACCTCGCCATCTCCAACACACTCATTCCCACCACCCCAATCACAGAATCGATCCATCTCATTGAGGATCTTCCTCGCCTGCACTGTCCCTCCACTCCCCCAAACATGATGTCCCTCTCCAAGGACCCCCCTGCAACATGCCCAAAGTATGTCAGACTAAGCTTCAGAATCCTTGACTCCAAGGAGTATTCGAGCTTCACCCTCTCCAGGACAAACCTGTTTGTTCTCCTAGCAGTCCATAGTATGTATATTCAACACTCTTCTCCAGTACCACAGCTCAAAGGCATCAATTCTCGTTTTATCATCCCTCGTCACTGTCCAACTCTCCAATGCATAGCATGTAATTGCGAAGACTATAGCCTGGATCAGGCACACCTTAGTCTCCAGCCTGACTTTGTTGCTCTTCAGTACTCTTGAGAGGTCCCTCACAGCTGACTTTCCCAATACAATTAATCTCTTGATTTCTTGGCTTCTGCTACCAAGAGTGTTGACTGTGGAGCGAAGTAAACCAAAATTGTTAACTCTCTCAATCTCTTCATCCATACTGATGTTGCCAATTGGCCCAGTGGTGAGAATCTTTGTTTTCTTGATGTTGAGCTTCAATCCATATAGGAGGCTGCAGTCCTTGACCTTCTGCAGCAAGCACTTCAGGTCCTCCTCAGTTTCAGCAAACAGGGTTGTGTCATCTTCATAACACAGGTTGTTGATGACTCTTCCACCAATCCTGATGCCACATTCCTCCTCGTACAGCCCAGCATCTTGGATGATCTGTTCTGCATACAGATTGAAAAGGTGTGGAGACAAGATACATCCCTGACGGACCCCCTCCTTGATTTTGAAACATGTCGTGTCTCCTTGCTCTGTTCTGACAACTGCCTCTTGGTCCGAGTATAGGTTTCGCATAAGCACAATCAAATGCTTTGGGATTCCCATTCTTCTCAGAGTCAGCCACATCGTCTTGTGATCCACACAGTCAAAAGCCTTTGCATAGTCAATGAAGCACAGATAGACATTCTTCTGGTATTCTCTGCTTTCTGCCAAAATCCATCTAACATTAGCTATAATATCCCTAGTACCACGACCTCTTCTAAATCCAGCCTGCACATCTGGCAGTTCTCTGTTGACATATTGTTCCAAACGTTTTTGGATCATTTTCAGCAGAATCTTGCTTGCATGTGATATTAATGGTATTATTTGATCGCACTCTGTTGGGTCACCTTTCTTTGGAATGGGAACAAATATCAGTCTTTTCCAGTCAGTTGGCCAGCTGGCTGTCCTCTAGATTTCTTGACATAACTTAATGAGCACATCCAGAGCAGCGTCTGTCCTCTAGATTTCTTGACATAACTTAATGAGCACATCCAGGGCAGCGTCTGTTTATTGAAATATGTCAATTGGTTTGCCTGTCAACTCCTGGAGCCTTGTTTTATGCCAGTTCCTTCAGAGCAACTTGAACTTCCTTCTTTATCACCATAGGCTCTTGCTCATACGTTATTTCATTAAATTCTTCTGTGTCAGCCAATTCCTTCTGATACAGTGACTCTGTGTACTCTTTCCATCTTCTTTTAATGCTTGCTGGATCATTTAACATTCTAAAGTATCCTTAAGTGTTGCCACCTGTGGCTTGAATTTGTTTCTCAACTCCTTCAGCTTAAGAAACGCTGAGAGAGTTCGGCCCTTTTGATTTTCTGACTCCAGCTCTCTGCACATTTCATTATAGTATCTGGCTTTGCTGTCCCGAGCTGCCCTTTAAAATTTTCTGTTTAGCTCTTTGATTTCTTAGTTTCTTCCATTAGCTTTGGCTTCTCAGCACTCCAATGCAATATTCAGAGTCTCATCTGATATCCATCTTGGTCTTTTCTTCTTCTTCAGCCTTTGCAATGATCCTTTGCATTCCTTATGAACGATTTTCTTGATATCCTCCCAGAGCTCATTTGGTCTATGCTCACTAGTGCTCAAGGCCTCAAACCTATTCCTGATATGGTTTTGAAATTTGAGTGGGATAGACGTAAGGTCAAATTTTGGCTCCCATGGACTTGATTTCATTTTCCTCAACTTCAGCTTGAACTTGCATATGAGTAGTTGGTTGTCTGTCCCACAATCAGCATCTGGCCTGGTTTTCACAGGTGATATTGAGCTTCTCCAGTGAGTCTTTCCACAAACCTAATCAATCTGATTCCTATGCATACCGTCAGGTGAAATCCATGTGCTTAGCCTGCGTTTGTGTTTCTTATAAAAGGCATTTGCAATCATCGAATGTGCAGAATTCTATCATTCTATCTCCAGCCTCATTTCTCTCACTGAGTCCATGTTTTCCAGCTACTGGTCCTTCTTCTCTGTTCCCAACTTTTGTGTTCTAGTCGCCCATTATTATCGGTGCATCTTGATTGCATGTTTGATCAATTTCTAACTGCAAAGGTTGGTAGAAATCTCCCATTTCCTCCTCTTTGGCTCTAGTTGTTGGTGCATATGTTTGAATGATAGTGTTATTCACTGGACTTCCTGTCGCTCACATTGTATTTCAGGATGGATCTAGAAATGACTTTTTTAATTATGAAACCAACTCCATTTTTCTCATCTTTTCATCCACGGCATAGTAAATCATATGATCATCTGATTAAAAATGTCCCATGCCAAGCCATCTCATTTTGTCAATACCTAGTATGCCAATATTTTTGCGTTCCAGTTCCTTCTTAACAATGTCCAGTTTTCCTACATGCATGCTTCACACATTCCATGTTCCAGTCACTAGTGTCTGCTTACATACAGCTGTTCCTCCTTCTTTGTGTTTCCATTTCTAAGCTCTCACTCTCAATTGCCATGTCTGCTAGTCCACATACTAGTCTAAATGTGCTCTATTGTACATAGGGTTTTCGAAGGCCTGTCACTTCAGAAGTCGATGGCCAATCCTTCTTCCTAGTCTGTCTCAATTTGTAGGCCAAGAAAGAAAAAATTGTGCACCAGTCCTAGAGGTCACATCCCTCTCTCCTGGGAAGCTATCTTCTTGCATCAGCACCTGGCAGCAAATGGAATACAAGTGGTATTAACCCACGAGAAGTCAATCTTGGAGTGGAAGTTTAAAAAAAAAATGGGACTTTTTCTCAGAACCTTCCAAGAAAAGAAGCTGTCCCTGATACGTGTACATGACAGTTGTACTTAGAACTTTAAATTGAAGTCATACTAGCTGCATCATAAGAGCCTGACAGCAGCATAATGTGTTCAGAATCACAAAAATGCTGATGGCTTAAGACTTAGGCCATCACATCAAGGGCTGGTCAAGGGGAGAGGTGTGTTGAATGGTGTAGGCAAAAGTAGGAGGTGGAATAGGGAAAGGGTGGATAAAAACAAAAACATGTAGCAAGGGTGAGCAGCAACATTGAATCAATTTATTGGTCATTTTTCTAACTAGGTAAATGTCTTTCATCTGCTCTTTTCTGTAAAATACTTGTCTGTCAGATACTATAAAATAGATACAGGGATAAAAAATATTTACTCTTCTTGGTTAGACTTGAAATGTGACTAAAGAACTGACTAGTCTAAGAGGAGGGTCAGATAGTGGAAAGTCTCCAGGTTTGTCAGACTTCTGCCTAGTTCTCTTCCTCTTCAACATGTTGCATCCTTGGGCAATAATGAAGATATTTTCTCTTAAAATCATGTATAATTTGTACAGACCCTGCTTATAGATTACATGTAAACTTGGGGTAATTTTCATTCATTCTTTTTGAAGTCTTTCTAAATAATTCAAGGAGAAACTTTTAAAACAGTTGTTTTTTGTTTTGTTTTGTTTTGTTTTGTTTTGTTTTGTTTTGTTAAACCAAAGAGAAGCTAGGTCGTGTGATCAAAACTCCCACAGCAATATTCTCTAAATACTATTTCATTAACATACTTTGCTTTTATCCTAAATTATTCATTTAAAAATTAATATGATAAAAATAATGATGAATAGTCGAATGTCTACTATCCAGGAATTCATGTTCAGGAGAAAGAAAAACCAACCCTGCTTCCCTCCCTTAACAAGCTGATAAAGGCTTTCCCCCCTAAGTATCCACTACTCAATCTGGTATCTTCATTGACTCTGTATCTCATATAATAATGTGTTGACTGACTTTTATGTTCCTCTTTTACAGCGAGGACAGGGTCATTGAGCATTATTTGAAAATCAAAGGTCTGACTCGAGGTCAAGCTGTGGTCCAGTGAGTATCCATCCCTTTTGTTTAGACATAATTTTAGTATTTTCTGTTTGAAGTCATTTGGAAACGTTTTTACAATATCATTTTTGTATATACATTTTTTATTTTAAGTCAGATACCAACTGATTTTAGACAAGTAACAAAAACAGACAATGGGAGCCAAAGATAGGATAGTAGGGATGGCGAAGGCTATTGTCACATGGAGAGATTTTGCCCTATGTAAAGGAGTCAAAGCCAATTGCTTTAGAACTTGGGCAAACATTTCCAGGTTTTAGTTTCTTTTACAAGAGAAGGTGCAAATTTTGTTTTTGAGATTATGCACAATAGAGCATATACCAATTCAACAAGAGACATACACAAGTTCAACAACTTGTACATGTCCATTTTAGTGATATGTCACTAAATTTGTACATTTTTGTCCCTCTCCATCAGATAGCTAAACAATAACCAAGGATGACAGAAGAATCGATGCCTTTGGTTTGTAGTACTGGAGAGGAGTATTGAATATATTATGGACTGTTAAGAGAACAAACAGCTCTGCACTAGATAGGGTGAAAGCAGGTTGCTCCTTGGAGGCAAGGATTTTGAAGCTCTGTCTCACATATTTTGGGCATGTTGTCAGGAGAGATCAGTCCTTGGAGAAGGGTAGAGGGTCAATGCAGGAGTGAAAGACCCTGGATGAGATGAATTGACACAGTGACTGTGGCAGTGGGGTCAGGTATTTCAGAGATGGTGAGACTGGCTCAGAATAGAGCAGGATTCAGAGCTGTTTTTCAGAGGGTCACTGAGTCCATAACAACAACAATTTAGTGATATTAATTATATTCCTCAATTGTACAACCATCCTTAGCCTCCTTTTCTGAGTTATTCTTCTCTTACTTACATGAACTCACTGCTTTATAAGATTCCCGTCTAATCATTAAAGTTACCATTGTCACTTGGATCCCATAAGTTATTGCTGCTGTTGTTAGGTGTCAGCTAGTCAAAAACAATTCATAGCAACCCTATCTAGCCCTTTGTTACAGTCACTGTATCAATCTATCTTGTTGAAGGTCCTCCTCTCTCTGACCCTCCATCTCTCCCAGCATGATGTCTTTTTCCAATAATTGGGCCCCTCCTGACAATATACCCAAAGTATATGAGCCAAAGTTTCATCATCATTGCTTCTGATGAGCACTCTGTACTTCCTGCAAGATACATTTGTTTGGTTTCTTGGCAGTACATGCAATATTCTGTATTCCTCTCCAAGAATATATAATAGCATCGTCTCCAACATGATCCCATGTTGTTGTTGTTGTTGTTATGTGCCATCAAGTCACTGCACCTCATAGCAACCCTATGTACAATAGCACTGAAGCCTGCCCTATCCTGAGCCTATCTCACTGACTGTAACAGACCTACCCCCAATACCCCAGTTATTGAGTCAATTCTTCTCATCCAGGTTCTTCCTCTCCTGCGCTGTCTCTCCATCCTTTTGAGCATGATGCCCTTCTCCAAGAATTGGTCTCTCCTGGCCATATGCTCAAACAATATGAGACAGAACTTCAAAATCCTAGCATCCAAGGAGAAAGTTGGTTTCACCCTCTCTAAGACAGACCTATTTGTTCTCTTGGTGGTCCAATGGTATTGTTCAATACTCTTCTTCAGCACCACAACTCAAAGCCACAGATTCTTCTGTTACCCTCAATCATTGTCTATCTCTCTGATGCTTAACAAGTAAATGCAAAGACGCTGGTCTGGATCAGGTGCACCTTAGTTTCTAGACTTTCATTGCTTCTCAGTACTGTGGAGAGATCCTTGAAAGTAGATTTTCCCAGTGCAATTCATCTTTTGATTTTCTTAGTGCTGGTGCCATGAGTGTTGAGTCAAGCAAGCTGAAATTGTTAACAACCTCAATTTCTTTTTCATCTATCATGGTGCTGCCATTTGGCCCAGTGGCGAGAATCTTTGTCTTGATGTTGGGCTTTAATCCATATTAAAGACTAAAGTCCTTGACTTGCTGCAGCAAGTATTTCAGGTCCTCCTCAGTTTCAGCAAGCAAGGTTGTGTCATCTACATAATGGAGGTTGTTGATGAGTCTTCCTCCAATCCTGATGCCACATTCCTCCTCATAAAAAGCCAGCTTCCTGAATGATCTGTTCTACATATAGATTGAAAAGGTATGGAGACAGGGTTCATCCCTGGTGCACTCATTTTCTGATTTTGAGCTATGCAATGTTTCCTTGCTCTGTTCTGAGAACTACGTCCTGGTCCCAGTATAGGTTTAGCATGAGCACATTTAAATGTTCTGGGATTTCCATTCTCCTCAAGGTGGCCACAATTTTTTTGTGATCTACACAGTCAAATGCCTTTGCATAGTCAATGAAACACTGATAGACATTCCTCTGATACTCTTTGCTTTATTCCAAGATTCGTCTGACATTGACGATAATGTCTCTAGTGCCACAGTCTCTTCTAAACCCAGCTTGCATTTCTGGTAGTTCTCTGTCGATGTACTGTTCTAGTAGTTTTTGGATAACCTTCAGCAGGAGTTTGCTGTGGTGTAATATTAGTGTTGTTGTTGTTGTTGTTGTTACATGCCCTCGCGTCATAGGTGACTCATAGTGACCCCATGAACCAAAGACCTGGACACTTGTATAACTTTCATCCTTTTTCCAGGTTCATAGGGTTTCTGGAGGCAAGCTATTTTGGAAGTGGATGCCACTCCTGCTTCCAAGTTTGTTTTAATCGGGGAACCCCACCAAACACTGTCCACCATGGGTAACCATTAATGCATTTGACACAATTAGTGTCACGGTGTTCAGCTTCACAGCAACCACAAGTGACGTCTGTATAGCAAGTGGAGAGACCAGTATTAGTATTACTGATACTAATATCAGTATTAGTGATAGGGTTTGATAATTTCTACACTCTGTAAGGTCACATTTTTTTGGAATGGGAATAAATATGGATCTCTTCCAGTCAGTTGACCAAGTAGTTTTCCTCCAGATTTCTTGGCACCACCTGGGGAGCATGTCCAGGGCAGCATCTATTTGTTGAAACATATCAATTGGTAGCACAATGTTAAGACAGGCTTTTGTTACTAATTAATCTAAACTGACTTTCTGTTTTAAAAACACTTAGGGGAGTATTTTTAGTTTATGGTTTAAAGATTATTTCAGGGCACTAGTTTCAGGGGTTCATCCACCAACCTAGCTCTAGAAAGTCTATATTCCATGGGAATTTTAAATTCTGTTCTTCCTTTTTCCCTTTTTGATCAGGATTGTGCATGAAATCATTGATCAAAATGTTTTTTTAATGATAGCTGGGCACCATCCAGTTCTCTGTTTTCAATGCAAAAGAGACACTTGTCCATGGAAGCAATTCTATACCCTCTTCCTCCTGTTCCATAATCTCTTTCCTCTGTTGCTGTAGGTGAACAGATACCAGTTGTTGTGCGTTATGTGACCACTTGCAAGCTTTTAAGGCCCCAGACATTATGGAATGAGCTGGGGAAGAGAACTCAAAACACTGAATGTGTTATTAGGTCAATTATCTGGGATGTCCCATGTAGCCATGATACTAAACCTCCAAACCAAAGAACCAAATCTCATGAGGTATTTGGTTGTACCCGAGCAGCTTCAGCTCATGTGCCACTGAAGGGTGACTTGGGGCCATCGTCTTGTATGTGCCATAAAGAGTGAACTAAGCACCATGGTCTTAAGTATTCTGTCCCACTTTTCACCAAGTCAGCTTTTTACAGGTGCGCATACGACCTGTTTACCACAATTACAATATCTAACAGTGTAGACTCCTTTTTATCACAACACAGTTTCAGTAATTTAAATCAGAAATTAGAAGTTACTCATTAAAGGAATCCTTGACATTTTAACTCATTGTATTTGTTTCCTGAACTGGGAAAGAAAAAGAATAACTATCTCATTGCAAGATTTTTTTACTTAGGTTAGTACATACATTACAGGGTGTCCTTGCTTAGATGTAAAATTCCTTCATCCTTTAACGTCTTTTTTATTTTTTTAACTTGTTCAGTAATTTTTATTAAATAAGCTTAAAAGTAGCAACACGTTTCTCAGTCCCTTAGGATACTCAGAAGTATTTAATACTTTAATAATTTTTCTTTTATGCTGGTTTATTTACAAAGTTTGTGTACATTGTTTTACACACAGGATCTTTCCAATTTCTACCATCCCCCCCCTTCCCTCCACCCATCAAACTGTATAACCCTATGATTAACCACCACCACCCGCCAGCCCATCCTCACCCCTCTGCTCCTACCCTCCCCCCACCCCTTGGATCTTCATACTCATTCTACAATAATGATCTTATACAATATTAGTCCTTAAGGGACTGAGTTAGTTCACTTGCATGATGCTCTCCAGTCCCTCCCAAATTAGGTAGTAATTTACAAAATCATCGTTCCTATGTGCTGCAAGAATAAACAGGTTCACCCTAGAGAGGGTGAAACCAGGCTACTCCTTGGAGACAAGGATTATGAAGCTTCGTCTGACGTACTCGGGCAAGTTGAAAGGAGAGACCAGTCCTTGGAGCAGGGCATCATTCTTGGGAGCGTAGAGAGGCAGTGAGAGAGAAGAAGACCCTCGATAAGATGGATTGATACAGTGACTAGGGTAATGGGGTAGGTGTGTCAGAGACAATAAGGTTGGCACAGGAGAGAGCAGGGTTTAGGGCTGTTGTACATAGGATCGCAATGAGTCACAAGTGACTCGATGGCGCATAACAACAACAACATTCTTTTGTGTACCATTCAATCGATATTTTGTCTTATGAGATTAATTATAATGCCCACAATGTGACCACCCTCTTCCTGCTTCTCACTAGAATTCTCAGTTCATTAATAACCTTTTGTCCTGCTCTGTCCTGCCTTCTGAGCTTTTGTCAAATGCTGCCCTTGGATCTTGTGTGGTTGGTTGCTCTCAATAATGAGTGCCTTCTGGGAAGAAGTATTCACTTCACTTCAGTTCACTAGCAGGCCTATTGTTTGCCTGGAAGTTGAGACATGGGTGGGTTTTAGTCCACATCTGCATGCTGACTTAGAGCCAAAGTCTCCTTCAGACCAGGAAGCCTGGCTAGTTTTATGTTTTCAAGCTTTGTGCCACATCTTTCACCAATGCGTCTAGAACCTTCTACCATATCAAAGTTTATTTTTAAGTCAAGTTTGCTGTTGTTGTTGATTGCCACGGATTCAAGTACAACTCATAGCAACCCATGAACAAAAGGCCTGAAGCCTTTCCACAACCATCGCCATTTATCAAAGTTCACAGTTTTAAGAGGCATGCTGTTTAGGAAGTAGTTGCCACTTTACCTATAAGAAAATTAACCTTTTCTAAGTAAACCTTTTAAAGAATGCTGGCTGATATTTACAATTATGTATCTTCTACTACAATCAATAACTTGAATAACTTTTTATTTACGTATAAGTAGCTGTTGTTGTGTACCATAGAATCAGAACCAACACATTAACTGACCCTTTGGGTTTTCAGAGGCAGTTAATTGCATAGGAGATCACCCATCCTTCTGTGAACCAGCTGGTGGCCTCGAACCACTTCTCATTAGTTCTTCCATTATTCAATACTTACATTGAATACTTACAATTTGAGGTTATAGTTCAAGATACTGTAAACAAAGCATGTTTCTTAGTATGCAGGAAAATAACTTCTTGCATAGTTTTGTTTGTTGGTTTTGGGGTTTTTTAAAATTGCTGTTTTCCTGGGAGAATTCCCTCTATTTCTGCTGGAATTCATTTATCTGGGTGAGAAACTACAAGTAGATACAAACTATTTTTCCTGTGAGGGTGTTGGGAATGTTTCATTCAAAGATTATGATGGTATTTATTTTCTATAGGTATATGAAAATAGTAGAAGCTCTGCCAACCTACGGAGTCCATTACTATGCAGTAAAGGTCAGTATTTGTAAAGCTCATATTTCACAAGAGCGAAAGAATGCTAACATTCTAAGGTGTGTAAGTCTATATGTATGTCTATGTAAATTAACTATAGAAATTGCAATGCTTAAAGTATGATTGATTTTTCTTAAAAAAACAAAACCCTGATTATATCTTATCATATTTAAGAAATTATATAGTGTTTTGCCAAAATATAGTCTACCAAAATATATTTATAAGTTCATCTTTCCCAAAACCAAACAATTGCCATCAAGTCGATTCGTATTCGTATTCCTGGTAGCTATTGGACAGAGCAGAGCTGCCCCTTGGAGTTTCCAAGGCTGTAACCTTTTCAGAAGCTGCTTCGTCTTCATCCCTTGTGGCAGCTGTGGATTCAAACTTTTAGTTACCAAACAAGCACTTAACTACGTCACTGCCAGGGCTTCTGTGCTTTCCTAAAACCTGTATTAGTCCTCGAATGTTCAGCTCATCCTCTTTTGATCCACATGTTCCTGTTAGAATCCTGGCTGATTTTCCTGTTGTTCGCCTGTCACTCTTCCAGACTGCATTTGACAGTGTTTTTGGGTTAGATTCATTACTCTCCATGATTTCAAAAACTTTATAAAATGCTAAAATGTTTACAAGATTTGCTGTACATCAATATGTCAATATATATGTAGTGTGTCCAGATGTTTATAAGCAAGGAAAATTTGATAAATATTTTAAGAGAATGAGTTGAGATAAAACAATTTTAAGAAGAAAGTCTTGTTTGAAAGGGGAATCATTTTGTAATTAATAAATTGTTGAATAAATATTTTTATATGACAATGTTCAGCTCCCTATTCAATTGAAAATTGAGATGTAGATAATAAATATCTGAATACTTGTTCTTGTTGTGACCATAGAGTCAGAACTGACTTATAGCTGACCCTCTGACAAGTTTTCAGAGGCAGTTAATCACAAGGGAAGAGATTGCCCATCTTTCTCTTATGGAGTAGCTGGTGGCCTTGAACCACGTGCCTCTGGGATTGCAGCACAGCTTCTTGCCAGTAGGCCACCAGAGCTCTTTATTTTTATAATAAGGACTAGATATAGGAACTGTTGTAAATATAAGAACCCTGGCAGCATGGTATATTACATAGTGGGCTGCTAAGGCAAAGACCAGCTGCCCTGTAGGAAAAAGATGCACAACCTAAAAACTCAGTGGAGAATCACCATGAGTTAGAATTCCCTCAACAGCAGTGGATTTGGTTTGGTTTGGGTACTAAATATACGAAGTTCAAGCGGCACAGTGGCTCAAGCTTTGGACTGCTAATGAAAAGGTCTGCAGTTCAAAACCAGTGGCTGCTCAGTGGGAGAAAGACGAGGAAGTCTGCTTCCATAAAGATTTATAGTCTAGAAAACCCTATAGGGTCATGAGTCAGAATTGATTCAACTGCAAGTTTGGGATTTTGGGTGGGAATTAAATATGTGAACTAATGCAACTTTAAATTTTACTGGGATTTTAAAAATTTCTTTATTTACATCTGAGTATCTGCCTGAGCCTGTTTTTTCCCCTTATGTGAGCACATCTTTTACATTGAGAAGACGTAAAATAATCTTATAGAGGAGGGGGAAAATGTACGGCTTAACTTCTCCTGTGTTCACAAATTGGATATCTGAGTGTCCTGCCATTGGATTGGACAGTTCTCCACAGTTTTGGGGGTTTTCTTGTGTGTTCCCATATTCATTATTAGTGACCATCAGGATTTGGAACTACTTTTCTAATCTTTGTCCTTTTTATAAAACCTCCCTAACCTTCAACACCAGTTACTAACAGAGACAAAGGGGGGTTTGTTGGTCTTTTTTTAATGGATAACTGGCACCTGGCTGTGAATTAATTCTTAGCTGATTTACTTACAATTTCTTTCAGTCTCCTCCTTTCAGCTGCTTAATTTAGATAATAATGCATCATTCTTTTCGTGGTTTTAGCAGTATTGGTCTGTTTTGCCTCACAGATTTATTTGAAGAAACTCTTAGCAGGCATCTTAATAACAAGTTAGATTTTTTTTTTTTTAAGTGGTGTTTTGTTTACCAGATGGCCTTATTTTGACTTGCCCAATACTTGTTAAGGGATGGTGCTGGTAAATACTGCTTCACTTTTAAAAGACCTAACAGTTAGTTTTAATGCCTTTTCATCTTCTAGGATAAACAAGGAATTCCTTGGTGGCTTGGGATCAGTTATAAAGGAATTGGCCAGTATGATTTACAAGATAAAGTGAAGCCACGGAAAGTAAGTGATTCATTTCAAACAGTTGTGAGGAAAGCTTATTAACCCACCTTGAGTTGTTCTAGGATGACGGACTTCCTGGGCCCTGAACTTTCTTGGGTCAAGTACCATAATGAGTCGAGTTGAGAGAAGATGAAAGTGAAGCATAAAATTATTTTTATAACTCATTGATAGCCATTTACAATTCCGCATCTGGTCATTTATTCTAACAGTTGAAATTGTGCCCAAAGATTTAATTTCAAAGGTCTGAATCACAGCATAGTTCACAAGTACATACAGTTTGGTTTCTATTATAAGGTAGATGTACAATCTGAAACTATATGGGAGTATGTGTATGTGAGTGATGGATGGGTAGCTGGGCAAGTTGTAAATACAGAAGACAGAATGTACTGTTGTCAGAGTTTTTCTGCTTATCTTTATCAAAATTTTCTGCAGTAAATAGGTCTGCTTTTTATAAAGATAAATTATTTCTGTTAAATATAAGTTCTGGATTTTTCCAGACCTAAATAACTTACCATTATTTTCAGTTACTTAATGGTTGTTAAACTATCTGTAACACCACATGTGCCAGCTCAGCCTTCCTCAGGGTAGAGTTCAGTTTTGATGCTCTTCTCTTGACACAAATGTTCCAAACATGTCTGCCCAGTTAAGCCTCAGTGTGGGCTGAGCATCGTCAGGCTTCCCTTGCCTACACAGTGTTAGAACCCAACCTTGAAGCCTTCATTCATGCTGTGTGATTCCTGCCCTCCCTGTTCCTTTCCCTGTGAGTAAAACAATTGCCTGTATTAACAGACCCTGATCAACATATTTGTATTATCACAGCTGACATCATAGCCGTACATATCCTCTGCCACTGTCGTGTCTCTTGCTTTAATGTCTGTTAGGAAAACAGCCATGATCTCCACACAACAGGCCTTGTAAACACACAGCTCTATTCATCTTCCCAGTGCCTCAGTCACTGCTTACAATCTTACTTTCTGTTCTGAAAACCAGTAAAAACTCATGTTTTGGTATGAAAATAACACAGATAGGACAAAAGAATCTCTGCTCTCTTGGTTCAGTCTAGTTGGGCATAGAGGGTTTTTTAGCACACCTTGTCAAGAAACTAACAAAGAGTCAGAGGCAGCATCTATCTTGAGAGCCATGGAGATTGCGTATATCCACAGTTAGAACTCTGCCTATATAAATTCTGGGACTAAGATTAACTTCAGTAAGGAGTCTTTTCTTAATTTCCAAGACTAGTAGAGGTATTATTGTTGCTACTTTATTCTTGAGCTTTGCTTCTAAAATAAAATTTCTAATAAATTCATGTTATTTGTTATTGTTAATTATTTGTTGTTGTTCTTTAATAAACAAAAAGCAAAACTACAGAAACATGTAAATCAGGACAGGAAGTTGTCCCTGAGCCCTCACCCCTCCCGCGTGGTAACCGCCTTTAGCAAATTATAATGGCTCATTCAGACTTTGTCAGTGTATGTTATTAAGACTTTTGAAAGTGTGAAAAATCATATAATGCATACTGTTCTGCATACCTTGCCATAGGTCTTCATATCACTTCTAAACAGATATTTTTAAAGCTTCTTAATGTTCCACTTTATACAAATGAATTCATCATTCCCTTTTGATGGACATTGTGCTGTTTTCAGGGGATATTGTTAGTTCAGAGGTAGAAACCTCATCTTCAAGCAGGAGACCAGGGTTCAATTCCTAGCCAGGGTACCACTTGGACAATCTCCACAGTAGAGATTTGTGTGTTTCTATGATGGGAACAACTTTTAGGGGAACTTCAAGGCTAAAGTCAAGAAGAAAGGTGTGGTATATATTCTTGACACTCAGCCAGTGAAGCCCCTGTGGGTCACAGCAGTCCATCCATCTGCTCCCAGCTCTGGGACCAGCACCGGGCCATAGTTTCATTCTGTTGTGCATGTAGTCACTACAAAGCAAACAAAAAGCTTTGTTTCTGTTATGGGATGTGGAGAATAACTAAGACTCCCAGCCAAGAAAAATAAGTCATTCTAGTTTATCTATTCTGTAAGACTAAATTATTGCCCATCATTAATTCATTTTTTAATTTTTATTTTATATTTGTTTGTATACAACATTCATATGCATTGTGTTTCATACTATCCTTCTCTCACATTGTGTTTCATACAATCTTTCACATTCATTGTGCTTTATAAAATCACTGAACTATGCCCACCATCACCCCATCATTTCAGGTCCCTGCCAGTCGTTCCCATTTCCTTTACCCCCTCCCTCCCTCCACCTACCAAATTATGTGACCCTGTGATTTCCCACCTGCCAACCCTCACCCCTCTGTTCCCAACCCTTTCCCTCCTTGTTCCCCCATACATGTTCTAATAGTTATTCTTCTATTTTTAAAGTAACAGTCTTATATGCTATTTCTCTTTATGAAACTGAGTTAGTTCACGCAGCATAATGCTCTCCAGTCTCTCCCAAGTTATGGGGTAATTTTCAAAATCGTGTCTCCTGAGTTCTGTGTAGTATTCCATCATGTAATACAATTTCTCAGTCCATTTGACTGTGGTTGGACATTTGGTCAGCCATGAATTCTTACGGTTAACTTCACTTATGCTTATTTTTTCCTAAGTTACTTCTCATCTGAATTTTACTTTAAGAAATAACTTCAGTATCTTCCTTGTTTTTCTGAGCCTGGTTTGTCAGGTAAAACTTTAATTGACTTAAATGTAATTTTTAGCTAAAATAACTTGATAAGATTGCTATCTCCACAGACTGTAAATCCCTCCACTAAAAATAGTGAGATATTCTCCCACAATAAAAGTGAATCAGAAGCAACACAGTAAACATTGCAGTTAATTTCCTCTCCTTTGCTTCTGACTCACAAAGTGGTGGTTTTGGTGTTTTTTTTTTTTCTTTCTCTCAGTTTCATAGAAATTGGTAAATATCCTTTGACACTGATCATAATCAGGTTTGTTTTGTTCTTTCCAGTATCTAGACAAAAAGCAGAATCCACTTCCTTCTTCTTTTTTGAGTCACCAAGTTTTCCTTCTTCATTTTCAAGACATACAGGTCGATTCCGAAAGGGCCATCAAGGGGGTGTCTCGAGTTGGCTCTTCTTACCTGCTCTCCCTCGGTTATATTTGGAAGTCTCCATTCAGCACCCTGTGAATTTCCTCTTTTCTAGTATTAAAACCTGACAGTGCAGTTTGGTTTTGTATCTTCGTTTTCCATGTCTGAACAACATGGTTTGCTTGGAGGGATGTTCTTCCACTCACTCTGCTGGCTCAGGGAGCACAGGTGGAAAACTGCACATTGTCAAGGGCTGTGAGCACTGGCTTGCGAGGGAGGGTCAGCTTCAGCTGTTTGCATGGACCTGTGCAACAGACATTTACCAGGGGCAGGAATCAAGGTCATTCTGACAAGATCTAATGAAACGAAAGCTGTAATATAGGTATTCCAGATGCTTGAGGAGACTCTGGTAGTACAGTGCTTGAAGTGCTTTCCTGTTAATCAAATGGTCAGCAGCTCACACCCACATCTGCATCTGCCTCTGTAAAGATTTACGGTCTTAGAGATTCTGGGGCAGCTCGGCTCTGCCAACAGGTTTGCAGTTAGTCATAGCTGACTCAGTGGCAGTGGTTCATAGATGCGGAGCCACTTGTCTGCCTTGTTAAGATTAGGTGACTTAAAAGCAGACCAGAAGGCGGAAGATTTCCCAAGAGGACGAGCACTAATAGCAAAAGACTGTTTTGAAAAAACTGTAGCAACATTTCAGTCTGCATACTGTCAGTAATACACTGCATTTAAACCTTGGGGGCTGTGTTTGTTTTGACTTCCAAAATATCCAGCAAGCACTCTTCTAATTGTATTACTTAAAACTTGTTTTATTTCTTCTTGTTGAAAATACAACAAAGCATGCACCACCAGCTTGGCATTTTCCACAGGCATGATGGGGATGACAGTGATTTTTTTTCCATTTTTTTTTATAATTTTATAATTTTTTTTTACAGAGGTTTTGGATTTCCATTCATTCATTGCCGCAATTTTCTCCCTTCCCACCCCTCCCCACCAGCTCGCTTCCCCCTCCAAAGAGAGAAAAGGAAAAAAGAAAAAAATTCCTTCATTAGTATACAATTCCTACGTCCCTTCCCCCCACCCCACACCCCGAGTACACTTCTCTATGCAACCTTAATTCTGGATTCCTGTGCTAACCATAATACTCAATCATATATCACTTCTAATCTGTTCTTTCCCTCATCTGTTTCAATACAATATACATAATTTATCCAGTTTTTTCTGTCATACCCCCACCCTGATGTCAGACACATTCTACAACAATGGCACCATGCAATATTTGTCCCTTTGTGACTGAGATATTTCACTCAGCATAATGTCACCCACTTTGAATAATATTGCATGAGTTCCTTGCTTTTCAATGCTGCGTAGTATTCCATTGTGTGGATATACCACAGCTTCTCTACCCATTCGTTTGTTGATGGGCCTCTAGGCTGCTTCCAACTCTTTGCTATTGTAAGCAAAGCTGCAATAAACATGGGTGTGCATATATCTGCTTGGATGGCAGACATGTTCTCTCTGGGGTATATTCCCAGTAATGGGATTGCTGGGTCAAATGGTATCTCTATTTGCAATTTTTTGAGAAAGCGCCACACTGCCTTCCACAATGGTTGCACCATCTTACATTCCCACCAACAGTGAATAAGAGTTCCAGTTTCTCCACATCCTCGCCAGCATTTGTTTCTTGCTGTTCTGTTATATTTTGCTATTCTTACTGGGGTGAGATGATATCTCATAGTTGTTTTGATTTGCATCTCTCTTAGAGCTAGGGACTTTGAACATTTCTTCATGTGCTTGTTGGCCATCTGAATATCTTCTTCGGTGAAGTGTCTGTTCATATCCTGTGCCCATTTTTCAATTGGATTATTTACCTTTATCTTATTGTGGTGTTCAAGTATTTTATAAATTCCGGATATAAGTCCCTTATCTGACATGTCATTACCAAA